GAGAGACTAACAGATTTATATAAGACATAAGCTTTCATAGGTAAAACCCACTTCATCAGATGAATTGGAGTGGAAATTACAAAGGCCGGGGTATATATACCACTACTAGTATAACAAAAAAAAAGAAGTTACTTATCAAAGGTAGGACCAGTGCTAATAAGGTTAATTCAATCAGAATGAATGTGGCTACTCACTGCAGTTGTTGGAGAGGTGCCAATACAAAGAGAGGGGAAATTGCCTCTGTAGTGAGATAACAAAACTTAATCCTTATTCAGTCCTAATTTGGTTGTATTGAATTTGCAAATGAATTGCAGTTCTATTGTTTCTCTTTGTAATCTGGTTTTGAATTTCTTTAGTAGAAGGATGGCTGCTTGTAAATTCATTACCGAATGTCCAGGGAAGTTAAAGTGTTCCTCTACAGGTTCATGTGTGTTACTTTTCTTGATGTCTGATTTTTGTCCATTTATCCAGAGACTGTCCGGTTTGGCCAATATATATGGCAGGGAGGCATTGCTGGCACAAGATGACATATATCACATTAGTGGATGTGCAGGTGGATGAGCCCCTTATGGTGTGGCTTTTGTGGCTAGGTACTGTGATGGTGTCACCTGTATAGATATGTTGTCACAGTTGCTAATGGGGTTTGTTGCGGGGGTGGGTTTCTGGGTGAGTGTATCTGAGGTGTGAAGTGTAGCTGCTGGAAAGCATTTGCTTCAGGTTAGGGGGTTGTCTGTAGGTGAGGATTGGCCTGTCTCCCAAGGTCTGTGAGAATGAGGGATCATTTTTGGGGACAGGTTATAGATTGTCTGTGATGCGCTAGAGGGGTTTTAGCTGTGGGCTATAGGTGATATAGGCTATAGGAGTTCTGTTATTTTCCTTGTTGGGTCTGTGCTGAAGTAGGTGACTTCTGAGTATTCTTCTGGCTCTGGCAGGTGGGTATTAAAGTTTTAAGAATGCTTGATAAAAAGCATGTAGATGTTTGTCTCTGCCTGAAGGATTGGAACAGATATGGTTGTATCTTAGGACCTGTCTGTAGACAATGGATCAAGTGATATGTCCTGTATGGGAGCTAGAGACATGTAGGTAAGAATAGTGGTCAGTAGGTTTTCAGTACAGGATGGTGTTTGTGACCATCATTTATTTGTACTGTTGTATCTCAGAAGTGGATCCTTGTGTGGATTGTCTAGGCTGAAGAGGATGACGGGGTGAAATTGCTGAAAAACTTTCTTGTGGGTCCATATGAAGAAAATGACATCAATATAGTGCAAAGAGAGGAGGGGTGCTATGGGACGAGAGCTGAGGAAACGTTGTTCTAGGTCAGCCATAAAAATGTTGGCATGTTATGGGGCCATGCAGGTACCCATAGCAGATCCGCTGACTTCAAGGTATAAATTGTCCCCAAATAGAAAATGGTTGTGGGTGAGGACAAAGTCGTATAGTTCAGCCACCAGATGCTCTGTGGCATCATTGACGGTACAGTTCTTGTCAGCTTGTAATACATCCTTGTGTGGAACACTGGTGTAGAGAGCTTTTACACTCAGGGCAGCCAGGATATGTTTTCGGGAAGATCACTACTGCACTGTAGTTTCCTCAGGAAGTCAGTGGTGTCTCAAAGGTAGCAGTGCTGGTAGCATAGGGTCTGAGGTGAGAGTCCACATAGCCGGACAACCTTGCTGTAAGGGTGCTGATGCCTGAAATAATGAGGCATCCAGGATTTCCAGGATTATGGATCTTGGGTAGCAGATAGAATACTCCTGGTTGGGGCTCTCGGGCTGTGTCTGTGTAGGTTTGGATTTGGTCCCATGCTATTGCATGAAGTTTCTTGAGCAGATAGTGTAGTTTCTTTTGGTATTCCTCAGTGGGATCAGATGATAGTGGCCTGTAGAATGTGGTGTTGGGGAATTACCTGGCAGCCTCCCGTTCATTATTTGACCTGTTCGTGATGACAACTGCACTTCCTTTGTCACCATCTTTGTTTATAATGTCAGAGTTGTTTTTTTGAGACTATGGATAGCATTGCGTTCTGCACTGCTGAGGTTGTTAGAGGGCAGAAGCTGTGTGCAGATCTTGACAGCCCTCTCAATCATGGCCAAGACTACTTCCACATCTGCTGGTGCAAAGATGGGGGAGGAAAGGGAGCTGAATTTTGTTGAGGATGACTGGGGAAGCATAATGAAACTATGATAGGGAAGGTGGCAAGAATCCTTTCCACATGTGAAGGTCTCTAGCAGCTGCGCAGCTACTTCTGAAGTAAAGAAAATTATTTTCTTCTAACGCTTGCACTTACGTTTGTATAACTTATGTCATTCAAGGGTGTTAAATAAAACAACTCTCTCAGCAACTTAAGTTACTCCAACAGAAGGGCCGATGCAGACAGCATAGTGTCCTGCTGACATAACTACCACCACTCATTGGTGGTGGTTTAATTATGTCAATGGGAGAGTAGTATTTATCCCATTGGTACAGAGAAGCTACACAGGGATCTCACAGCTCCATCAATGCAGCTGTGCCACTGTAAGCTTGCTAGTGTAAACATGGCATTAGTGTCTGCACAACCCATCTGACCTAGAGGACTAAGGTCAGCATTCACATGGCATTGCTATTAGTGGAGTTCTGACTTTACTCAGCAGCGGTTTGAAGAGAGACACTGGGAGCTATTTGTGGCTTCATTGTTAACACTCAGATATAAACAAACAACAGAAGCTTCTTTACAAGCAGGAAAGGTAAAGGTCATACAGCCATCCAAATATACAAAAGACGCTGGCATCACAAAATACGTGACCCTTCCCTATGCCCAAGTTCAGAGGCATTGCGTCTCCATAAGTGTTCTTAGGATGTCTCTCATAAATGTAACGAATAAGTTGAACAAGTAGAGTTATAGGCCTATCAGTCTGCATATGCCTAACTCACACCCCAGGGTTTGGTTAGAGGAGACTGCAGTGTTTTGTTGTTAAACAACATATTTTTGTATTTCTTAATATGCCCTCTAGTATGGAGATATTTTGTAGGTTGAGAGAAAAAGAGCATTAAGAAAAAGCAGAATAAAAATAAAGTAGGGATTTGGTGGCCCTTACTCCCCCTTCTTCTTCCCTCCCAAGTGTTTTGTCTCAAGGCCAAACTATAAGTGACTCCAGTGGAAGGATAGGAGGAAACAGTGATCAGAGTAAGTACTTGGAAAAATGAATGGCTGAAAGCTTGAAAATACATATGAAGGTAAGGGACAGGCTATTTGTTCAATAGTAGCTTGACAGCTCAAGTCCTTTGTGTGTTTTACTAATGAACAATGTAATAAAAGTGGCATCTAATGAAATCTCAAGTGAAGCTTAAAAAAAAAAGAAGAAACAGCAGTTTTTATCTTGGTGAAAGCAATTATTTTTAAAATGCTTTCAGAGTTCTGTTTTGTAAGATTTCCTCATGTTGGCTCAGTGAACCATTTTATGAACAAGTAGGCATAACAAAAGCCCTCCATAGATAGATTAGCTGCATCTCATGATAAAAAAATCGAGTTGAGATTATTACATCTTCTGAGCATGACTCTGAGCATGAGAGAACAGTTTTAGTGATTTTTAGCCTGAGTTATACTTGTGCTGGTGTTGGTGATTTAGTGGGTTGTTTGTTTGCTTGCTTCCATCTGTGTCTGTACTGAACCGGTGGCCCAGAACAGGGTTGAGAAGTATTGTCCTGTTGGAGATGCTGTCTTTTTTGTGGTCTGTGTAGCATTGTAAACCCAGGTCTGTGGAATCTGCATTTGTGGATTCCATATTGCCAAGACCATACTTGTGTGTCCATGCTGCATTACTGGAAGCCGGTCTGTTAACTATGCTAGCTTGCCCATACTGCGCTAGACAGGCCTTCCAACTCGAGTCTGTGACTTGAGCTGTGTCCACACTGCAAAACAACAGTGCTTGGACTCAAATCTCAGCGTGACTCAGGCTTAGAACTACACCTTTGGGTACAGGTCCTGAAGGTCTGCTAATGCAAATCAGACACATTTGTGTGTGAATAGTGGGAGGTTTTGGGCTCAAATTTGCATCTGAGCCCAGGTTTACAATACAGTGTAGAGAGACCTAAAAATCCCATACAATTGTGTGTGTGCGCGCGCGTGCGCACGTGCTAGAAGAGAGATATTAGCACTCATGTCCTGGCTAAATTCTAATACTGTTCCTATTACAAGCAATGGGAATTTAGCCATTGACTTCACAGTGCTGCTTCTATGGAACTGTAAAGTCACCCATGCAAGGTCAAATGAAATGTTACTCCTTATAAAAATCTGGGGTACCACCACTGACTTTTAACAGGCCTTAATGTCAACGGAAAGGGTTGGTGGTGTGGACTCATTGTTTAAAAAATTGACCTAATGCAGTTTCGTTTGACCTAAACTCCCATTGTAGACCAGGCCTAAGACCAGGAGCAGAGTGCAGGTAATAGCACTGTGTTTAATTTTGTCTCTGCAGTTTCAGCTGGACACAACATACTTTATTTCCTGTCTGAGGTTCCAATTCAGAACTGTACTCAATTGCTTCTTTAAAAGTAGTAGGCAAGTGAGATACCTGGCTGAATGGAGGTCCTGTTGCTGTGGTCTCCTAAACAACTGCCACATTTCACAGATCAGTGATTGCATTTTAGTAGTAGATGAAGTGATTTCTGTATCTGATGAGACCCATCGTGCAATCCTTAACCTGCTGATGACCACTTGTGCAAGTAGTCCCATTGATTGGAATAAGGATTAGTAGCCCAAAAAAAGGTAATCAGGATGAAGACTGAAGTTTGGTGAACACTTTAGAATCATTTGGGATTGACAGGATTCTTATAAACTGTTGTTATTACTCTTATTGTTACTTGAATTATTAAAGAAAAATCTTTTTTGTTGGATGATACTTAAGTTAATATCTTTTGTCTATTTTCCCCAAGCAAGCTGTAAGGAACTGGATCAGAACATTATTTGCAATAACTGTTTTTATTAGGAGGTCGTCTTAATGATACACTTGGTTTTTTTACAGGAAAAGTTTAATGTCGGTAACATGGGACATCAGGTGATAATATTTGACATTTCTGCTGCAAGAGGATTCTGGGAAACTCAAGTGAAGAAGTATAAAGAAACTCAAAAAAAGGAAAAGGAAAGATTAGCAAAAAGTTCATTAGAGAAGTAAGCCAATCTACTGCTCTTCTATTTTAACTTAATTCATTAAACTTATCTGTTAGTTTAATTACATGCAAAGGATAGTCAAATGATCCTAGGAATCCATTTCAATTTAGTTGGTTTGGATTTGCTGATGGAACTTTGCCCCTCCCCTCAAATGACCGTAACAGAAATACAGAACAAATTGTATGTATATTGTCTTATCTTATTAGTTGCTGAACTTTCTATATAGATTGCAGTTTACTGATGGGCTATTTTGCTAGTTCATTGCATAGTTTTAATTTAAAAAGTTGATGTACTCCCTCCATCTATTTTTGTTCATGAAAAGTGCAATATGAAAGTACCGCATTTATTGTGGAACACTTATGAAAATATACTTGTGAGAGTCAATGTAAGAAATGTTTTGTGATGTTTTGTTGTCATCAGAAACAAAAGGGAAGAAATATATATGCAGGCACAGTGTTCCTGAATTCCATAAAGGAGAAAAGAGGGAAACACAAAAGGATTATCTTAGAAGCCTTCTGTTGTTCCAACCTAAAAGCAAAACAAAAAGCTTGAATACAATTCTGTTCACCTCATTGGTTCCTACTGGTTGCTTTATTATAGGTTACTAATGATTTGATAGTTTAGTTTCTTTGCGATCATCACCATGAAAGTCGCCGTAATATTCTATTGGGAAGATAGTGCAGGAATGGGCGCTGACTCTGTGAGTGTTGTGGGGCTGAAGCACCCTCAGAGGGGGGAAAAAAAAAAGTTCCCCACAGTCACCACAGCAGTGCCACGGGTGAGCTCCTCCCCCATTTTCCTAGTGCTTCCTGACTGCTGTGATCAGCTGTTTAGCAGCATTCAGGAAGGGGGGGGGAAGGTGAGGAGCATAAGGAGAAAGAGGTGAGTGGAGAGGTGGAAAGGAGTGGGGGTGGAAAGAGGTGTGTGTGTGGGGGGATGGAGTGGAGAGATGTGGGGAAGGGATGAATGGAGGGTGAGGGCAGGGGCTGGGAGGAAGGGGTGGTGGGGGGGTGAGGACTGGGGCAGCCCTTGGGAACACAGAAAGTCAGTACCTCTCAGTGCAGTAGTTGAAGTACTTTACTTTTATCATATTTATTGCTCAGGGAAGAAGGAAAAAAAAGAAAAGATTCTTTTTGCTGAAAAGTACCCAGGGCTGAATGGTTCTGGAGGGACCATGTGAATCTCTCAAATGAGAACTGGCTGACTCAGAGGGAGTTACTCTTCCCGTCTCCTGTGAAAGCTCAGCCTGATATAAGAGCTACATCCCCGTCTAAAAGCCCAGGACAAGGCACATGACAGAAAGCACTCTTGGTCAAGAGGATCTGTCTATGGAACAAACTTGCAGAGGAGATCAGGCGAATCCAGTGTCTATATTTTGGAAATGCTGCAAAATCTTCTTTGAAAAAACTGTTCCACCGTAAGAATGACACAATACTGACACCCCCTATTGTCCCAAAATCACTATCACAGAAAGACAAAACTAATAAACAACATACCTTAAAAGATCACCTTCTTGTCCCGTTTTAGGCAACTAGTGTCCACTAAGCTTTTAGGGGGGATTGGGGCCTGCACTTTCCAGCCAGACTACTCCTGGCCCTTGCAAAGGGGTGCAAGATGCAGGAAAAGTCCGTGCCCCCTTTGGGCATTGATGTAGTGGCTGGCCTCAATCTGTCCACTGATTTGTGCATCTCTCTATCTCCCTGGTTTTCTTTCTCTGACTCATTGTACAGTGTGTTGGTTTTCAAAACATTCAGAACCAGAGATCATTTTCTTGTTTACTTATGTTGGCTACTACAAAAGCGAACCTCAACTGGCAGACATTAGGGAAATTCAAAGGGGACAGAAAAAAAGAGGGCACCTTAATATGGCAAGGAGTATTTTTTTCTGTTGCTAATTTTAGCTACCTCACTTCTTTGCCAGTGAACTCGGGCAAGACCCAGAGCTGTCCTGTGAGTCATGTTTTCCATGAAGACAACAATCTCACTATAGTTGACATCTGTGCTTGTTTATCATAAGCTAACAGAGATTTGTGAGCTGTTCTGCCCAGTCATTCTGCACAATTTTCTTATATTCAGTAATAAGGTTCCAAATCTCTTCATTATCTTTTCTGTACCAACAAGGATAGATCTAGGCTTCAGTACAGGAGACAGCAATATAGAGCAAGAAATTATTTTAAGCTCGACATGAATACAATACTTTTATTCCACGACAAGGGACCAAATTCTGAAGCTCTTTATTTATGTTGAGAAGCATCACATTCTCCAAATAATCCCACTGATTTCAATGGAAGTGCTCCAGAAGTAAGGTATTACTGTGTTATTATGGATTGATACTGCTCCTATTGAAGTTAATTTCAAAACTCCAATTAATTCCAGTGCTGCAGGATCATGCAATTATAATAATGTGGCCAAAGTCACAAAGGAAATGGCCATTAATGCAAAGCTCACAATTAGAGAAAAACCCTTTTGTCACCTGACAGAATTTCCAAGAAATGCATGTGCTTAAAAACATACATATCAGCTGTTGCCTATTGTGTTTCCAGGGCCAGATTGTCAAAAAAGCACTCAGCCCAGTTTTCAAATTCTTAGTAGCAACAACTGTTGGTGGAGCCCTTTCCAAAATGCTAATCTTAATGCACCATACTACATTAGTGGATGCTGTAAAGGCTCATTATCCCTCCTCAAAGCATGATAAATGAGTAGTCCTGTGGCACCTTAGTGGCTAAAAAAATATATGTAGTATCATCAGTGTTCGTGATGGCTTTGAAAGCAGGGGCACATGAGGTGAGAAGAAACCCCTCTCTGCAACTGGTAGGGAATTACATTCTGAGAATTATTTTGTTGTTGTTTTTGCTCTGCCTTTAGTTTGTTTTAATACACAGAACTTACATAGTGTTACAGAGCGTCCCCACTATATGTCGCCCTGGTATACATCCGTTCCACACTGAAGTCATTTACACTTGTAGGAACTGATGCACTACAAGTCCTTCCATTCCTTGTTCTTAAGTTGCGCAAAAAAAAAAAAAAAAACCCCAAACCAATTTGCACAGACGCAGACGCGGGAGAAATCAGACGCGGGAGAAAAATTCCGCACTTTAAGTTGTTTCGCTATAAGGTCAAGTTTTTTGGAACATATCTTGGACTTATAGTGAGGATGGTATACTTCCTGTATACTTTCCACCAAATAACAGTTTTGACTGTAAAGAAAAAAATGTTGACTGAATTTGGACAGTACGTCAATCTGCTGAGTAAGGAAGTGCCAGTCTTTCCTTGAGTGTTTATATTTACAAGTCCATCCAGATGAAATTAAGAATCCTTGTTTTAGTTTATATAACAATCGTTAAGATGTTGTGCAATAGTTACATAATATTATGCCCACAGTGGTTTCCTACTATATAGGGAGTAGGATTTGATTTGGCATCTATAATATTTGCATGTACTCCATGGGGGAAGTGGAGTGCAATGGGTGAGTGTACTTGCTCCACTTCTATGCAGCCATGGTGAGTGCAGGGGATGTCACTGTGCTATGATAGCCTCACCCTGCTGATCCCCAAAGCCATGTCTTTGGGGACAGGGTGCTATGGGAGGAGTGGGTGGGGTGATGGCAAGAAGAAGAGGAGATTGGGAGGAGGTAACGGACAGCTCCCCTGGTCCACTGGGAGTCCTGGGTTGGATTGTGTAATTGTTTTGGCGGGGATGGCCTGCTGGCCAGGAGTTTGAAACTCCTGAATTAAATCATGGAGCCAATGGAACTCGGCTCCACAAATAATCAGGACCAAACGAAGGGTATAAAAGAGAAATGCAAACAAGCAAGGGTTGGTTTTGGAATGAATCCAGTTGTAGAAGGAAAGAGAGTGTTAAATGAGTGCTCTAGAAGGAATTATATTTATTGCGGCCCTAGTGAAAGGAAAGTGTTGCCGTTGTTGCTCTCCTATTTTTTTTGGTCCCACACCAGGAAAGATGTTATTTGTTTGTGTGTAGGATGCTTGCATCCCTGGTGGGTGCAAGCCTTCTGTAAGGGCGAAACTTTATTTGCTGCAGACTTGTTTCTGATTTGGAAAGGAACTTCATGGATTAAAAAGAAATTGACTTTCTACATAAGAGGGAAGCATACAGTGAGGTTCTGTATGCTTCCCTTACCACTTGAATGTTATGCATTGGCATTTCAATGCACTTGGGGAGATAGATGTATGTGAAGTGGGTTTTAGGAAGTGGAGCTGGATTGGATAAATTCAGAAAAGATGGAGTATTGCTGAATAGCAGAGCACTTTTATAGGCCAGGAAGTAGCTTAGTGTTTTGCTTTCTGTATCTTAAAACACTGCTCACCGTATTGTCTTCAGGTGTAAATGATTGTTTTGTTTACAATTCCCAAACCTTTCAGAAAAGCTCCTCCTAAATTTTCCTGACCGTGGTTTAAATTATAAGCCACAATATGTTAGAAACGCACAGTATTCTATGTTCATTGCATCTGTATGGAAATCAATACAAATTCTAGAGAATAGAGCCACTAGCTAATCCATGTGAATGGGTTTGTATGCCATTGTGTGCAATTCAAAAACACACACTGTTAATACAGAACTAAGACTTAGGTTAAACTCTGAAAAGTGTGGAAATGTCATAGAACCATAGGGACTTCTGTAGGACATTGAGTATATCCCCCTGTTAAAAGCAGGACCAAACCCAACTAAATCATCCCAGCCAGGGTTTTGTTAAGCTGGGATTTGACAAATTAATTTGTCAATTTAGCGGGTGTATTATAGATCAAAGGATGCCCCCATTGGCACTGGTACACCTACTCCAAAAGCTCCCAATGACCCCCCACTGTGTGGACAGGGATTTAAGATACTTCTATTCCAGCTACGTAATTTATGTAGCTGGTGTTTCATATCTTACTTCCACTTTCCCATGTAGTGTAGACTAGGCCTGAGTGTCCATTCAAGACACAAAGGTTCAATCCAGTGCCCTTGGTTCATTCCCAATCCACCAACAAAATATGAAGT